GGGAGACCTAAAGAAGCCCCTGGCTCCTGGCTCCAGCCTGGCACAGCTCCAGCTGTTGTGGCCATTTAGGCAGTGAACCAGTGGATGGAAACTCTGTTACTCTGCTTTTCAAATAAGTTAAAACTAACTAAATCAGCAACAAAAAAGTAAGTCTGAGGGGCACAAAATTGTTTTAAAAGATAACAGGTGGCTGAAAGGAGGCTAAGTGATCATCCAAAGCCACCCAGGAACTGGGAAGGAAAACTCGGTGAATGTTTGTTCTTCATGGCCAAAGGTCCTAATATACAGGTGTTCACCAAACCCCCTTTTCACACGGTGCACCCTCTTAGGTGCGGGGGCCACAGAGGTGAGCAGGGCACAGTCTCTACTTTCCAGCAGTGCCGCTGTTTCCTCCAGCCCAGCCCCATTGCTTGTAGCCGGCTCTGGAAGGGTGCTTTTAACTCACAGTGCTTAAGTTGTTTTTTTGAAAATTTGGTCTTGAGGATTCTGTAGATCAAGTTTCTCTGCCTCAGTTCCTAAGCACAGCTTGACTTGAAAATGAGCTGAACACATTCAGCTGCTGCATGGGGTCCCGGGTAGTGCAGGACTCCAAAGGAAGCAGACAGACGTGTCTGGAACACAGGGTGTTTATCCGGAATTAGTCCCTTTTATACAATATTTGTTTGGATATTAGGTGACTTAAATTCTTTGTAAAATAAAATGTGTACAACTGTAACGTGAATTCCATACATATAATGGAGGGTTTTTCAGCTAAAGGATATTACACAGGAAAATACTTAGGATCAATTTTTTTAAAATCTTGTTTTTAAAGGTTTATTTTTTTATTTGAAAGATAGAGTTACAGAGAGTGAACCATCTTCTGGTTTACTCCCCAAAGGAACACAACAGCCAGAGCCAGACCAGGCTAAAGTCAGGGGCTTCTTCCAGGTCTCCCACATGGGTGCAGAGGCCCAAGGACTTGGGCCATCTTCTATTGCTTTCCCAGGCCACGGCAGAGAGCTTCATCAGAAGTGGAGGAACAGGGACTCAAACCAGTGCCCAAATGGGATGCCGGGATCACAGGAGGTAACTAAACCTACACCACAACGTCAACCCCAATTATGGTAAACTTTTAAATGTAGTTGGAAAACATGACTTGAGCACTGTGTGTTTCTAAGGTTGTGTGCAGAAAGATTGAGGAGGAATGTGAAAAAGTAATTACAATGCTTATCTTCTGGTTGAGGGATTAGCATATATTTTCACTGTAGCTCTGAAATTTTCTAAGGCATACTTTATATAATAAAAAGTATGCTATTAAAAATTTATTTCTGGGGCCAGTGTTATGGCAGTGGGTTAAGCTGCTACCTGCAACACCAGCATCCCATGTGAGAGCCAGTTCAAGTCCCAGCTGTTCCAATTCTGATCCAACTCCTTGCTAATGTGCCTGGCAAAGTACTGAAAGATGCTTCAAGTATTTGGGCCCCTTCGACTCATGTGGGAGACCCAGATGGAGTTCCTAGCTCCTGGATTTGGCCTGGCCCAGCCTCAGCCATTGCGGCCATTTGGGGAGTGGGCCAGTGGATGGAAGACTGTTCTTTGTCTCTCCCTCTATGTAACTCTGCCTTTCAAATAAATAGTTTTAAAAATTATTTCTGGCCGGCGCCACGGCTCACTAGGCTAATCCTCCGTCTTGCGGTGCTAGCACACCGGGTTCTAGTCCCGGTCGGGGCACTGGATTCTGTCCCGGTTGCCCCTCTTCCAGGCCAGCTCTCTGCTGTGGCCCGGGAGTGCAGTGGAGGATGGCCCAAGTGCTTGGGCCCTGCACCCCATGGGAGACCAGGATAAGCACCTGGCTCCTGCCATTGGATCGGCGTGGTGCACCGGCCACGGCGGCCACTGGAGGGTGAACCAACGGCAAAGGAAGACCTTTCTCTCTGTCTCTCTCTCTCTCACTGTCCACTCTGCCTGTCAAAAAAATAAAAAATAAATTAAAAAAATATTTCTAAGCAGGAAAAGGGGGAAAAAAACCTAACTGAAACATGAACCAAAAACATTAACAGACACATCACCAAAGGAGATATGCAGGCAAATAAGTATGTAAAAAATGGTCCAGGTCATATGTCATCAGGAAATACAATTGAAACAGTGAGATACCACTATAGAACTATAAGAATGGCTACAATCCAGAACACTGGCAATGCCAAAAGCTGGCAAGGCTGTTAAAGAACAGGAAGCTTCATTCATTGTCTGGGGAATGCAAAATAGTAGTCACTTTGGAAGGAAGTTCATGATTTCTAACAAAATTAAACATCCCCTAACCACATGATACAGCAGTTGAACTCCTTGGTATTTACTCAGATGAACTGAAAACTTATGTCCACACAATAGTCTGCACATGGATGTTTGTAACAACTTTAGTCTTACTTGCCAAGACTTGGAAGCCAACTACATATTCTTCAGTAAGTGAATAGATGAATAAAGTGGTATATCTGGACAATGGAATATGGTTCAGCATTGAATATAAATGAACTCTCAAGCTGTAAAAAGACATGGGAAAACTGAAATGCATATTACTAAGTGAAAGAAACCAATCTTAGGGCCGGCGCTGTGGTGCAGCGGGTTAACGCCCTGGCCTGCAGCGCCAGCATCCCATATGGGCGCCAGTTCAAGACCCAGCTGTGCCTCTTCCATTCCAGCTCTTTGCTATGACCTGGGAAAGCAGTAGAAGATGGCCTAAGTCCTTGGGCCCCTGCACCCACATGGGAGACCCGGAAGAAGCTCCTGTCTCCTGGCTTCGAATCTGCGCAGCTCCGGCCATTGTGGTCAATTGGGGAGTGAACCATTGGATGGAAGACCTCTCTCCCTCTCTCTCTCTCTCTCTCTATGTAACTCTGACTTTCAAGTAAATAAAATAAATCTTTAAAAACAAAGAAACAAATCTGAAAAGACTGCACACTGTGTGTTTCCAACTAAATGACAGGGTGGAAGAGGTAAAGCCAGGGAGACAGTAAGAAGATTCATGGTTGCCAGGAGTTGAGGGAGGGAGGGAGGGAAGAACATGCAAAGCCCAGAGGACCTTCAAGGCGGTGAAATTATTCTGGATGAGACTGTAATGAGGAATACAGGTCATCAAGCATTTGCACAAACCCATGGGCCGTGCTACAACTCCCACAGACTGGGTGACGAGGATCTGTCAGCGTAGAATGATCCACTGCAACTGATGCTCCACGTTCCTGCAGGCTGCTGATAATGGGGGAGGCCATGTGTGGGTGTAGGAGGAATTATGGGAAATTTCTATACCTCCTGTTCAGTTTCTCTGACAACCTAAAACCACTCTAAAAATAGCCACTAAAAATTCTTCCTTCCATGCCTTATGTTTGCAACTTAAGAAAAATAATGGAAAGAATATTGATATGGTTTTCCAGTTAAACCCATCACAGGGTCAAATATGAACTATAAACTATGACAGCAACTGTGCCCCGCTAGAACTGAGGCCATCCACTAAAAAATATTCTACCTGACCACTCCCAGCGCTGTAAGAAACCTTAACAACTCCACACTTCCAAGGAATACGCCCAGGGCATGTCTAAATTACGTGAATATTCCACTTTTGCTTGTTCTCTTCAAAGGAATTAGCCATTTTATGCAACTCCTATGGACATAGTTCATCCAGTGCACAATTGGATGCTTTGATCTCACAGATAAAACTTGAGTTTCCTAGTCAAAGAATAACTGCTCCACAACTTCAATAAAAACAAAAAACCTCCTAAATTGATAAGCCAAATGGCGAATTATTTCAAAAACATGCAAAATGAGTGATCAGCCACTGCTGGATCGACAGTCTTTTGGAACTGTACCTTCTACCAGTTAAATATTCAAAACGCTTTTAATACCTATGACACATGACAGTGTTCCAATAGGAGCGGGCAACAGAAACAAAACAGAAAATGCCATGAACCTACCAAGGAGACTGAAATAAGTGCAGTCTGCTGCCTCCCTGCCAAGTGCCAACTCCCACCCTCCAACACTCGTGAATATTTGGTTTATCGTCCTTATTTTCAATGGTTGTCCAATAGTATTGACCTGGTGTTGTCCAAGCTTCCAGCCACCAACCCTACAGGACATACGAAGTCCTCTAAATCTTGATGGCGATTAAAGTGTTCAGTGCTCACTGCCTCGACTCCGAGGAACTTTTGTTTTCTCTCCAGAGCACAGGGACAGAACTGTGGAAAGCATGTACAGATCCACACGTACAGATGAGGGAACGGCTGAACAACAAGCCACAATGGAGAGAGCAGGCCTTGCAACCTGGCTGCACTGTTCAGCTTCTTTTCGGCACTTGATAGTTCCATTTTTGCACATGCCACACACCTACTAGCGGTTACCCAGCTGCCAGCCATTACTTCCTGCAAAACTGAGAAACTTGAAGCAAATCGAAAACTAGGGAGATATAAATAAGAACAGCAATCTCATCGTCCCCAGCGATCGTAAAACTGATAGTGTGCTCTCAGTTTAGTATACAAAAAGATTTTTTTAGAAAGCTAGGAAAAATTTACTCTGAAAGTGTTATGTTTTATGGACCTGGACCCTGGAATTAGACAAAATCTAGAACAGTAGAACAGAATTCGAACTCTGCTGGTAGTAAATACTACCTTAGTTAAATTCACTGTAGCTTGGAAGCCTCTGTTTTGTTTATCTGCAGCCATTGATAAAACAAGGAAAATGATGCCTACCACTTAGGGCTTCTGTGAAAATCTAGACAAAGCACCTCATGTATTTATTATAGTGCCTGTCACATAGTAACTATTCAGAAAACATGGTTATTGTTGTGGAAACTGCTGTTTATTATTATGCTGGAAGCATTGGCAGTAGTATTATGGAATCCTATCAGGATCTTTTCTACGTAAATAGTGGGAAAATCAAACACAAGTTTTTGTTGTTATTGTTCGCTGAATTGCTCACAGATGCATATTCAAGAGAAGTTCATGCATTTTCCAACTATTTCTTAATGTGTATCTTACCTTTGCTTTTATGATCAGTTCCTCATGCTTGCGAATTAGCTCCTCATTGTCTGAAAGTGATGAACCTAGACTTTGTTCCTGTAAATCTCTTATGGTTTTCTGAAACCAACAAGTAACCTAGGTAAGAAACAAAAAGAGACAAAATGTAAATGGTCAATGGTAAGTGACCAAAAATTCAGGAATAGTCTCTCAGTTTTTCAAAACCTAAGCTACTTTAATTTCTTTTTATATAAATAAATCTCACATATTAAATGTATTCTTTTATTTTTCATTTCAACCTCCACATGCAAAAGAGAAAAAAATTTAGACCAGAAAAGCATAAAAATGAGTTATCTGCTCAGTATATTATATGAAATGAAGAAAATAATTCAAAATCTTCTAACAAAGAACTAAAATATATCCAGCAGTCTATACACTGTGCATTCTTTTTTTAAAAAAAAAAGATTTTTTATTTATTTATTTGACAGGTAGAGTTACAGACAGTGAGAGGGAGAAACAGATATAAATGTCTTCCCTCTGTTGGTTCACACCCCAGATGGTCGTCACGGCCGGCACGCTGCGCCAATCCAAAGCCAGGAGCCAGGTGCTTCCTCCTGGTCTCCCATGCGGGTGCAGGTGCCCAAGCATTTGGGTCATCCTCCACTGCCCTCCCAGGCCACAGCAGAGAGCTGGACTGGAAGAGGAGCAACCAGGACTAGAACCCGGCGCCCATTTGGGATGCCGGCGCCACAAGCAGAGGATTAGCCAGGTGAGCCACGGTGCTGGTCCCCCACACCATGCATTCTTTTAAAACATGTCCTATTTCCTGGACACAAACATGAATCTGAGTATAGTTCTATAGACTCATGTGATATTAAACAGAATTATATTTTCTATTATAACAATGCAAAGAGACAATGCAAAGATATGTACTTTGCTATAATTGCTGGGAATCTACTCAGAAAATAAAAGGATAAGTTATTAAAATTGCATGGATAACTGCTCAAGGGCATGACTCACACTCACAGATTTGAGTGACAATACATTCCACCCACAATGGTTTTTATTTATTTATTTATTTATTTATTTTTAATTTTTTTTGACAGGCAGAGTGGACAGTGAGAGAGAGAGAGACAGAGAGAAAGGTCTTCCTTTTTGCCGTTGGTCACCCTACAATGGCCGCCGCGGCTGGCACGTTGCGGCAGGCGCACCGCGCTGATCCGATAGCAGGAGCCAGGTACTTATCCTGGTCTCCCATGGGGTGCAGGGCCCAAGCACTTGGGCCATCCTCCACTGCACTCCCTGGCCACAGCAGAGAGCTGGCCTGGAAGAGGGGCAACCAGGACAGAATCCAGCACCCCGACCGGGACTAGAACCCGGTGTGCCTGCACCGCAAGGCGGAGGATTAGCCTAGTGAGCCGTGGCACCAGCTCCACCCACAGTGTTTTAAAACAACAAATTGCAAAAAACTTGAAAGAAATCACACATTTTAAAGAGATGCTATAACTTGACATGGGACTCTTCATTGCAGATTCCATATCCAAATTAAGACAGGGAGTTATATTCTCAAATATTGTATAGCACATTGCCTTCAGAATCATTTCACAGCTATTGATTCTTACGAAACTAATCTAGATGGTCTGCCTGTTGCTTTTTGGATATCACCTTTATTTTTCTCAACAACTCTATAACAAGTTGATGATATCATCACAGTAGAGAGGAGGTAATTGAGTTTTGGAGGGGCTATGCAGCCTATCCAGGGCCATATAGCAAGTGGTAGACATGGGATTTATCCCCACATCTACAGGATTCTAACACCCATGCTCTTCCCACTATGTCCTGCTACCATGTCTGAGTACTCCAAAGTCTTGCAGCCCTGTTGGCAGAGGCAGTAACTTAAAACCTGAGAAATGCCCATCCGAAATGATGAGCTTATGCCAAAACTGACGAATTGTCTCTCTCCACCCTATGTGGTCCGCCCTGCAATAGCTTCAGAGTTTTTCTGAAGTCCCCTAACATGGGGAAATGTGTGAAGCAGGTGGCTAGGAAGGAATCTAAGTTAGATCTTAAGTTGCTTACAATAAATGCATACCACATCTCACACACGCACACACACACACACACACACTACAGAAGTTAGAGGCTCACTAAGATTAGAGGATACCACAGGGCTGATATCACAAAGTTGACTAAGATAAACATATCCATATCACTCTTAGCTTTGCTAGCATGAATTAGCAGTAAGAAGAGCAAGCTTTCTGCTAACTAGAGGCCATTGCCAATCAGCATGTTAGCCCACCATCAGTGCAAAGAACAGAACAATGGTGACTATGCACCATTTCACTTTCCTGTGGCAGGCAAGTCACTGTCTTTAGAATTTTTGGTAATGCATGCAACATACACAAATTATAAAGCCAATCCTCTTACTTAGAGTATTTAGGTATTGACAATTATTTAAAGATAGTGTATTTTTCTGGTATCCCAATTAGAACTAGGTGATATATAATAGCACCTACAGAGAGTGCTTATCAAGCAGTATAACATTTTTGATTAATTTATGTAATTTTTTAAAAGATTTATTTTATTTATTTGAAAGTCAGAGTTACACAGAGAGAGAGAGAGAGGAGAGGCAGAGAGAGAGAGAGAGAGAGAGGTCTTCCATCTGCTGGCTCACTCCCCAATTGGTCGCAATGGCCGGAGCTGCGCTGATCCGAAACCAGGAGCCTCTTCTGGGTCTCCCACAGGGCTGCAGGGGACCAAGGACTTGGGCCATCTTCTACTGCTTTCCCAGGCCAGAGCAGAGAGCTGGATCGGAAGTGGAGCAGTTGGGTCTTGAACCAGCTCCTATATGGGATGCCAGTGCTTCAGGCCAGGGTATTAACCCAGTGCGCCACAGCGCCAGCCCCCTAATTTATGTAATTTTTTAAAACAGCAATTTCTCACAAGTAATGCAGAGTACCCATATTAAAGCATAACTAGAGGAATTATTTAAGGGTTTCCTTCAATTAAAGTGGATCGTGAATACAGCTACATTTCCGAGATAGTGTATTAAATACTGGGAGTGTCTTATTTATTCTTAACTAAAGTGGGAGACCTAGAAATCTCAAGAATGCTTTAATAGGGGAAGTTAATACAGAATCCAAGTGAAAGAAAAATGAGTACCAACAGGTGTTCACTAATCTCTAAAAACAGGTGAGAAACCTGAACCCACAGATGATCCTATTAAATTCTGTGAGTCAAAAACTCGTCATCTAACATATGCTCATGGTGATGAAAACAGGGAAGGACTGAGTCGTTTTGATTTTTAAATGACCACTGACCTCATCTCCTGGATTTGTCTGATACACAATCAACCCCCAATGGATACTATTCCTGTAAGGTAAGCTATTCCCTAAAAGAGAATGTAGTTCAAGAACCATGGTATTCAGCATATCCTGTTCACCTCTCTGTTAAAGCATGTGGAGTCTCCAGAGCCACACACTTTTACTACCAAATTCACCCTGAAAAGAAACATGAAAACAAGTCGGTGTAAGACTCAGAGTATGCAGATCATTCTGAGGGTGTTACATCTCGTCAGGAGGCATTCACACACAGGAGCAGCCCCGCAGATCAGATTTACCATAGATGGTGTGGGATGCACACAAAATAGGCTCTCGGAGTTCTTCTGATGCTAAGTCAGACACCTTAAATAACCAAGAGCATGCAGCCATAATATTCTGCCACCCAGTAAATCAGTCACTGCATCCGCAAGCAGCTACCACAGACAGCTGCACAGATATTCTAAGCATACTTTTTAAGAAGCTTTTAAATTATATCAGCTGCCGTCCAAAAGCCTGAGTGAGAAGTACAGTAAGAAATGTAGCAGGACATTTCAGTAACACGGTCTCTGCAAAAGGATGAAAATAAGAGCAGTGGTTTGATAGGGATGTGGAAAGGAAGAAAGACCAAAAACCATTCAAAGCATGCACTGGGAATTGCTTCACTGCGCAATGGCGCATTTAAGTGGGAAGTGAACATTTTTCTTCTAACCAGTCCCTACCTTTCAACTTGACTTACACAATGTGCTCATGGTCACACCATCAGTTTGATCTGACATTCTACCTACTAAGTGCCCAGAGAAGGTAGAACTAAGGTAGGGAAGTGGGATAGATCTTTTTCTTGGGGAAAGAGGATGGAGGTCACACCTAACAGAGGGTGATTAGAGAAAGAGAAAGGAAAGTCAGCAGAGAAGCAATTGAGGACATTCAGTAAAAACCCAGAGTTGCCTTGAAAGTTCCAGAAGAATCTCAGGAAAATTCTCTCAAATGCTATAGACCTGTACTGTCCAATATTGCAGCCACTAACTACCCAGGGCCATGTGTACTTGGAATTTGACTAGTCCAAACTGAATTGGGCTCTAAGCATAAAGCACACAGCAGAGATCATACAGTTAGTATAAAAGGAAGTGAAAGTGAGACTGGCACTGTCATGTAGCAGGTAAAGCCACCACCTGCAGCGCAGGGATCCTATGTGGGCACCAGTTCTAGTCCTGGCTGCTCTACTTCCAATCCAGCTCTCTGCTCTGGCCTGGGAAAGCAGTAGAAGATGGCCCAAGTCCTTGGGCCCCTGCATCCATGTGGGAGACCCAGAAGCAGCTCCTGGCTCCTGGATTTGGATCAGTTCAACTCCGGCCGTTGTAGCCAATTAAGGAGTGAACCAAGAGATGGAAGACCTCCCCCTCTCCCCCTCGTCCCCTCTCCCCCTCTCTCCCTGTCTCTCTGACTCTCCTTCTCTCTGTGCAACTCTTTCAAATAAATAACTAAATCTTAAAAAAAAAAAAAAAGAAATAAAAGTGTCTCAATAAGAAGGTTAGAATAGATTACCTGCTGAAATAATCCTTTAGCTGTGTTAGGTTAAACAAGATTTTTTTTCACTTTTTATGGAGTTTTTTAAACTTTTTAAATTTTTTTTTACTTTTTTAATGGGCTACAATATGAAATCACATAGCTGGTTTGCATTATATTTTCATGTATTGGTTCTGCTATTCAAGTATGTGTACATACTTGATGTTTACAACATCTTTATTAAATGTGGATTTATGGACTGAGTTTTAATTCAGGACAATCTAAAATGGTGAATTCAGGAGTATAGTAAAAGGA